CAGCTGCAGAATTTAACAGATGATCATTGGGTGCATTGGAAGCACATCCCACCAGTTGTTATCCCACCTGCCTCTGCTTGACCATACGCAGTTTACTCAGCATCTGGGGACTTGTGGGGTCTTCATATACGGCTCTGAGGTCTCCATACATTTCCAAGGGGGTCTCTCACCCAGGAGGTGCTTCTGCCTCGCCTCCCACTCTCCATGCTCAGAAGAAAAGACAAGAGTACTCACATGCACATCCCAGGCAATGTTTTTTTCTCTGGTTTATTTCAAAAGTCTTTGTAGTAGATTAACTGCAACATTCCAAACATCACCCGGACGTTTCTACATCCTCCCTGATGTAGAGAATTCATACTCGATCATGTTTCACGGCATTAAAAACACACAGGAATGTTCCCTGGACACCACCAGTGGGTTCTTCCACAGTCTCCTTAACCACCAGCTCTACACATCCTCTGCCAAAGCCTCTGCACTGCTCTGCAAAGCGGCTGCACCTCAGCTGTCTCTGCCTCCTGGATCCATACCCATGTTTCTGTGAATGAAGGGGTGCCAAGCCCAAGTACCCATTTTTGTTTACAGACTGTATACAATGAACCAGCAGAAATGTGATCCACCTTTATTGGCTTCGTATATGGCTTTTAGTCCTCTTCATTCAAAGATCTTACAGTGGAAAAATCCTGAGCTGACATCAAAAGTGGGACTGATTCATTAAGAGCACTCACAATTATGTATGAGTTGGAGGCTAAGTTCCTGTCAACCCAGGATTAATGCATTTTTAAAACTGACACTTGTTTAAACAGATTTCAGTCTTGAAATTTATTCCAGTTTAATGTTTTGCAAGGAAGTATTATCTGAAAGAGAGTAAAAATCTATGTTTTCCAATCAACAATTTACAGGAACTTATGTTTCTTCATTTCACCTCTTAACTTGGTAAACACAATCAAAATTGTGATGGAAAAATACATGCATCTCCTTTTGACTTCTAGCAGGCATAAAAGTCATTACATCTATTTAATTAGGCTATTTACTACCTGCGATTCAACCAAGTTACTCCAGATTCAAGCCACAGGAACACTTGCTTCTCAGACCCTACCATCTCTTTTGGTTTATTTAGGTAATCTTTGTGTGGTTTGGCTCTTTGGGATTGTGTTGAGTGATGTCAGGCACTGGGACCTGCTGCAGCTGTTTCTGGATGGCAAAATGTCATCTTTTTTCTGACCAACACTCAGCTGAAACGTCTCTTGGTTGTTAAAAATGTCCCTGGCTAATACCCATATGCACAGTATGTGACAGTAAATTGCTTGTGTAACATTTGCTGCCATCCTCCAATTTCAGTAGCAGGGATGTGAAATGCCCCTAACAGTGCAGAAACAGATGCAGAAATTTGGTCAAAAAAGTGACATTTTGGTGCTGAAGCTGCTTGTAGGGCAATGCTCAGCACCCCAACCAACCACCTGATTCTCTCCTGAACCCAAACTTCTCCCATTGCCATGAGAACATCTAGCTGCTGCAAACAGAGGCAGCTCTGCTCACAGCTTTTGCATGTGAGATCCTTACCACCACATTCATTATTATTTTGCTTGTCTGAAATGCTCATAATGGGTGTTTGGGTTTTCTGTTTGGGGTTTTTTCCTCCTTTTTTTGAAAAACCATGACCACTTGAAGGTCAGCTGCCAAATGGACTGAACGATCAGTGCAGGAAAATTGAAAATCATAACATCTTGTGTGTAGGCTGTGAATAATGGGCAACACCCTTTTGATCATTAAAATAGAAAATGATCTCTCTGTTTTCCACTGTTTTTAGCCCATTAAGAAGGCAGGGATAAGAGCACATTGCTGATGATTTGCACCACTCTGCTGGCAGTACAATCCCTGGCTGCAGACCAGGGGCTGGCAGTGGGATGGATCCCACCCTGGCAGGGGCTTGGCTGCAGGAGGCAGCAGTGGTTTGCCATGACCTTCAGCTGCTCTCCAAAAACCACAGACACCCCAAAGCAGGGACATTTTGTCCATTTTCTGCTGGGGGCTGGACCAGTATTCATGGTCCACAGGCATGCTTAAATTTGGGGATGGAGGCAAGCCCACCCCTGAGCGCTGTGCAGACCAAGGCATGGCCTCAGATACATTTTGCTTTTTTACAGATAAAGAAAATATAAGCCTTGCATCCCCTGGAGCAGGCAGAAACCTAGGCTTTTTCCCAAAGGATGCAGGTGCATTGAGCATTAGAAAAGAATGATAATTTTGTGACACATGCCTGAGATTTGGGGTCCAATTGTATATTTTAGCACCTTACTTTCTGTTCAGAACACCACTTTTGTTGATTCACTGTACTGGTAAGACAATTTTTCTTGCTTTTACTGATAAATATCTCAACAAATATAGCCAGACTTGGTAATTGATTCATCTTGTAATATTTATATATGCTGTCATCATATGGGAAGTGTAAACAAATCTCTCTCTCCATTTTATGAGGAGAGAAGCACCACAGCAGGATTGCTGCTTTGCCAGTGCAGAGACACTGAAAAGCGCAAACTGTATTGTCCCAAACACTCCAGTTTCAGGAACAACCAAGGGTTCCAGGGTGGCCAGAACCAGGAACAGCCTAGCACAGGCTACAGCACTTTGCTGTGCTTCTCAAGAGAGGCTCAATGCTACATCCATTATCTTTTTTACTTTTTTAGTACTGGCAATCATCTCCTGCATCTCAGCAAAGGGAACTGCCTGGATCCACCTGCTTTAACCACCCCAGTGCCAACTCCCAGCCACCAAACCAACCTCCAGAATAACACTGTTGTCTGTCAAGAGTCCATCCATCACCCTTAGCCCTGCAGCTGTGTGGCCTTTTTGATAAAAGTGGTTAGCAGCCAGTTGAGCCCTGTGATTTATGTTTCTTTGCTTGAATTGGAATTCCATTAGCATGCCCTTGGTTTGCAATGGCCAAATAGGTACAAATATTCGGTTTTGAAGGTTTAGACATGCAATTCTGATTGCAGCAATCAGGCAGGCTCTGTTTCAATCCCTCTAAAAGCTCTATTCACAGGAGCAAATGTTCAGCATAGGGCTTTTTCCAAATGGGACTTACATACTTCTGACTTTAAGAATTTGAAACAATTTAGACAGAATGGGCAAATGAAATAGGCAAGTCCTTTTACATGAAACTGAATCATTAGCATCCTTCACAGAATTCATGTCAAGCAATTCTGTTGGTAGAAAAAAATATTCAGTTTGCTAATTCCAAGAATGACATAATTTACAATCTGATTCTAGATTTTACAAAACAATTTAAAAAATAAAAAGTTTAGAAAAGTGACTAATTTTGGTGTCTGGAAATGTTTGCTTGTGTTCATATTTCAGCTATGTGCAACCAATGCAAAAAGGAAAGTGATACCAAGCCGAAAACAGGACAGAACTGGTTGTTCCTTCCAGAATTCAGTGCAGAAATGAGCAAAAACCAGAACCAGGGGAATCAAGTCAAGAAGTAAAATTTTGAGGTTTGTAGTAGAAGCAATGCCAGCTCAGCTAAAAATATCTACCAAGCTGTGCCCTTTCAAACAGAAACAAAATAAATAGGAATACTTTTCAACAGGTTATCTTGAAACTTGAATAATTTAAATGGGCTGGAAATTTGGAATGAATATTTTTGCTGAGAGTACCCAACAAAGTAGTATTCCAGTGAGCTAAAAATGGATTTGTATATGTAGAATTGTAGCATTTTTATTTTTTGTAAATAAACAATGTTTACACACAAAAAAACCCCCCCAAACAATCCCCAAACCATTTTTTAGATGCTGTGCTTTCAGACACTGAGGTTTTACAATAGAACTGGAACTGAATTCTTGCACTGCCTGTGCAGCCCATGGATGGTACAAGCAAAAATTTCCTGGACATAATTGTACTTGCATGGAATAGGAAATTATACGCATTGAGAAAACCTGGTGTTTGATTTGCACATTATCAGAAATAGCAGTAATTTTTCCATGTTGTTTATGTATGTCATTACAAAAGCATTAATCTCGCATTGACTCACTGGCTTTAAAAAGTACTCTTACAGTCTGCAAAGTACAAAAGGAATATGGAGACTTCTTTGTATTCCTTAGGTTTGAAAAAGCATCACCTGCTGAAGGTCTGATCCTGAAAACACTTGGGATGTTGAGGATAGGATGCTGGGATGTTACAGACTTTCAAACCCAGCTACATCCTCACGCCAAGTCTGGGCTTGGGAGCTGGCTGGGACACACCTGGGTGTGACATGGCCCTGGGACTAGGAGGACTTGGAGGCATGGCCATCTGCACCTCTGATACACCCAAAATACTGATCATCACTGCAGGGGACCAGCACGGCTGCTTTGCAGCTAAAGCTGGGCAGCTGACTTCCTAAAATCAGCGCTGACTGTGTGTGGTGCCTTTTCCCACAGGAAAAGGCATTTCTCACAAAACACCTCTCTCCACGTTCCAGACAAGGCAGCTGAGCCCACGATGCCACGGGAGCTCCTTGGGGGGTGGCAGTGTCACAGCGCTGTGTGACGAGGAATAAACGCACGAGCGAATGCAAAGCAAGTCTTTGGTTTTCTGCTGGATCTGCTGGAGGACACTTCTAAGCTTCTCCCCTTCCCCATGATTTTCACATGATTTCCTGTATTTTTTTCCCCTCATGCTAAATCACCAGAATTTTTGGATAATCTGGAATAAATTCTGTATTTACTCCGTTTTTTTGTTTTTTTTTTTTTTTTTTTTTTTTGGGGGAAGGGAAAAAAATTTTATTTTAAAGATGCCACGGGAGCTCCTTGGGGGGTGGCAGTGTCACAGCGCTGTGTGACGAGGAATAAACGCACGAGCGAATGCAAAGCAAGTCTTTGGTTTTCTGCTGGATCTGCTGGAGGACACTTCTAAGCTTCTCCCCTTCCCCATGATTTTCACATGATTTCCTGTATTTTTTTCCCCTCATGCTAAATCACCAGATTTTTTGGATAATCTGCAATAAATTCTGTATTTACTCCTTTTTTTTTTTTTTTTTGCAGGGAAGGATGAAACATTACATTTGAAGGCTGCACTTCTGCAGCCCCACTTCAAAGCTAAACTACACCAGTCTGGATCCTTAGAATTCAAAGTTTGGATTTGATCTTAGACCCATTTTTGCCTATGCATGATATAGGGCAATTGCATTTTCTTTTTGAGGGTTTAAAGAGATAATTTAATTAAAGGGTGGATGTTACCCATTTAGCAAACAAAGAGAGAAAGGAAAAAGGTATGTGTGTTTATTGGTAGCTGCATTCAGACTGCGGCCATGTAAGCTAAAGTAGTTTCTTTTCCTCAGTGCCATTGCTACACAATGCATTTATAATGCAAAATGAACCACTTACTGTGTATATGCTAACATGCATAGCCTTTGTGTCAAAACTCAGTGGAATTGTCCATACTTTCCTTTATTTTCCCCAATGCAGTGCTTCTCTTTTCCTAGCATTCATGAAAGCACAATTTGAGCTCAAATATGGACATATTCACCAAAAAACAAAAGAAAACAAAATTGCATACTGGTTGTACAATGTGCAATGCACCCTTCATTAGTTATTCTGTGTGAGTCAAGTAGTAATTTTTCCTAATTGAGTTTATTATGTAACACAGTATTTATTGTATTATTTAAATGTAACACTGCAGACGTGTGTTGGTTTGCAAAGGCACATTAGTAATCCAATTAGAGCAGCAGCCATACCCACAGATTTGCTAGGCTAGCAATCAGCAAAGTATGATTTTGTTGAGATTAGCTCTGAACATTCACTGCAATGATTTGCCACTGAATATTTTTCAAGTTAAAGGCTAGAAAAATACTAAAATGTGAGAATTGTCTCATTGCTACAGCTAATTTCCATATAGTCATAAATTCATCCCACACAGGCAATCAGGTTTATACTGAGCCCACATGCCTGGCTATATGACCTCCGCTGCTGCTGAAGCCTTTCAGCAGCAAGGCATGACTGAAATATGGGTAAATGGTCACAGTATACTCAAATTTTCACCCACAGAAAGCTGGGGAGGAGATAAAACTGAGGGCCAGGGCTGAAGCTGTGCTGGGACAGCAGCACTACACCAACAGGGGCATTTCTGGGTAACCTAACATGGCACAGGGCACTCCCAGAGAGCTCTAGTGGGATTCCTGTCTTCCACCAGTAATTCTGGCTGCAATCAGAGCTGGGAACTGCCTAAAGAGCCTTTGGATTCATTGTTGTACAATGCTGCTTCTGCAGGGAGGCAAAGCACAGCCTTGTCCCTCAGACACTGCCTCTGTGGCTGAGATTGCTCTGAACAGCTACGTGGTCTGAAGGGCATCCTCTGCAAGGAAATAAAGAGCCATTTGATTTTTTTTCAGAATGAGAACAGTGTTTGCAGATGGGATGAAACCAATGAGAACCAGATGACATCTTGGTGTGACTCCAAACTTTGTCCAAGACACACAGAGGGAAGACAGACCCTGAGAGGTCAAAGCAGATTTGCCAAATGCTACAGGTTTCACAAGAAATTACTCCTTGTGACTGCTCTGTGCTGACCTCTGGGGTTAAGAGAAGATGTCACTTGAATTTGGTCATTGTTGCCCATCAACTTTCACCTAAGTTTTGATCTTCATCTGCAGGGTATTAGTGCAGGTGCCAGGCACATGTGGTATCTCCTTTGTCCAAGCAGCTCACACTTGTGCCACTGCTGTTCTCACTAGGAGCCAGCTCACAGAGGAGTCCTAATTCCTGCAGTCTTCTGCTGCTCCTGAATGCTCTTTCCTGGGCTCAGGCAGCAGAAGACCAATCTGGGGGACAGGGTCTGAGCTCAGGGCTGTGCTGCCTGTAGGCTCAGCAGGCAGCTGGGATGTCTTGGTCTGTGTCAGTGAAGAGTTCTACAGGGTGGTGCAGAGAGGGGTGTACCAGGGAAGATGAGCTTTTAAAATCTAAGCCAACTGTATTCTTTCAAGGCTACCCATAATTAAATTTGAATAAAAAAAACACTACTGCTGTTCTACAAGGTGGTGCAGAGAGGGGTGTACCAGGGAAGATGAGCTTTTAAAATCTAAGCCAACTGTATTCTTTCAAGGCTACCCATAATTAAATTTGAATAAAAAAAACCAACCCATTTCAAGAATGTAAAGCTCCCAGGTTACCTGAAAAGAAAGTGCAATCTAGTGCAGTGTGCTTTCACTTTCCCACTCTGCTCCTCTCATTTCCTTCTGATTTCTTGTGCTTCAGTCTTTGTCCAGGTATTGCTGGTATCTGCTTTGTCTGTGGAAATGAAATACCAGGAGGAATTGCACTTGGTGCAACTGGTGCACGTTTAGGGGTTAATTCACCAATGGAGCAGGCTGCCCTGGGGAATCCACACACAATGGAAGAGGAGTCAGGTGCCCAAGCCTGGCAAGTTCAAAGAGGGGTTGTCATTAAAAAAAAAAGCTAAAGGAAGAGCACAAGGGACTAGGAAAGACTGATCTCAAACCTCCTATGTCCTCTTGGCTCATGTTTTCATGCACAGGGGTGATGGGTGCCCAGGTAGGGCTGGCAGGTTGAAGAGTAGAGATTTGGAGCTGGGTTTCCATGCGTCCTTGAAAAATACCTCTGCTACTGAATATGAGGGAACTGTAAGGCCACCCTTCAGCAGATGCTTCCCAGTGAGACCCAGGTCAGTAACTGTGCTCTGACCTTCCTATAAACTGAGCTTTGCTGAGCCAGATGGGTTTGGGGATTTTTACAGGACTTAGATATGACCTGGCGGTCCCTGTGGTTGACTTTTGTCACCATCTGGGGATATGACACCTGCAAGCAACAGGGCCACTGGTAAATAACTGTGCATGCACTTCCTCTGAGGCTGGAGGGAAGCAGAATGGAGATTATCAAGGACCTTGGGTGTAAGTAAACATTAGATCTAAGTGAACAGAGCAGCAACCTGATGCCCAAATTCCTTGAGATGCCCAGCTCCAGGAGCTGGTCCAACTTCCTCTGGAGTTAACAGGAACTGCAAAGGGTCCTGCAAAGGCACCGCTGTGACTGATGGTACCAGAAAGACTTGGAAGCATTTCAATCATGTTACAACAGGCTGTGTGTCTGCCTTTGCCTGGACTCAGGAAAAGTACAGAGGAGGTATGTACAATTTCGTATTATTTCACTGCATTTTCCAGGCTGGAATAAGAAGTTTGAAAACAATTCACAAATTTACAGTTTAAAAAGGATCCTAATCATGGTTATAATATTTATCCTTTAAAACAACTCACTGAAAAAAAATTTGCAAATTTGCTACCATAAAAATAAGAGTTCTTGAGCTCACAGAATGTTGATACATTTGAGCATGCTTTTATGAGCAAAATAATAAACAGGTAATTCTGCTGTGGCTTGGAGCCCTATCAGTTCAAATTCCTAAGTCCCTTGGGACAGAACCTGTCTACCCTTATTTATGTAATAGTTCTAATGAGTAATAGTCTCCATGATGACAAATACACCAAGATACAACCTTAAGAGAGGTTGAGCTGCAAAAAAAGAGCAGGGTCCCATTCACACTTTTAATAAACAAACACATAAATCATCATACTAAGAGATTTACCTGTGGACGTAATCCCAAGGGGAAATAACAAATTTTCATTCTTTTGGTTCCCTGCCTGTGCAGTTTCCCTTGCATCTCTGGAAGGCATCTGCCTGAACTGGGTCTTCCAGCAGTCAGAGTCTTTTCCAGACCGTGACCTTTCCCTGTACATCCTGCCTAAATTTATCCTTCAGTGGCCTTCAAAAGGAGCACCAAACACCTCTTCCTGCCTCCTTAAAGAGGAGGAGTGCACAGACAGGAAGGCACTGGGACAGATGGACTTTCTCTACCACCAAGAAAGCTCCTGCCTCTTGAATGCAGCCCCTACCATACCACAGAACCTTAAGCGTGAGTCTGTGCCAGCTGGAAACACATTACAATCATCACTGCTTGTTTCTGGCCAAACACATTTTGACAAAAGCTGTGACATTTACAGCGTGATACAGACCCATGTGTGATGGTTTATCTGCAGCTCTGATTTCTTTTCATCAGGAAAAAAAGATACATTCCTCGCCATAATTCAGCTAGCAGGCTCAGGTGTGCAAAATCTCAAATTTAAAGTTGGTTTTCCAAGGGTAAATTCCAAAACATTTTGCCCTGCTACAAATTTAAAAGAAAGCAAAAATGATGGCTACTCCAAACCCATGCAAAACAAAGTAAATAGAGTAAAATATCTATATAAAACTTCATGGAGATATTTTCAAACATTTCTAATATTCCTAGTTTTTGTTCATCAGCTTGTTCAATTTATTCAGTGACCAACCTACTACTAATGGTTTTGCCTACAATTTTCCAGTAAGTTTCCAAGAGAAGGCTTCTCAGAATACAAGCTTAAGTTTTATTACTTGCTTGGAATCAGCAGAAGCTTTTTTATTATCTTCACAGTATAGTAGAGAGAATTTAGAGAAATGATCTAGAGCTGTGCATGCATTTTTGAAAGAGGTTTGCAGCAAATGCTCTGCACCCAGTTGTCATGCTAAACTACACACTCTAGACCAGGTTTGCTTTTGGCTCTTCAGTGGTTTGGGCTAGCACAGGTTTAATATGGCTTAAGATGGTAGCAGCAACAGCCAAAGGCCACTTAATGACTTGGTGTCAACATTTTGGGGGAAGCCAGCTTCTGGGGGAACTCCAAAGCAATGCTCTCCTTCTGTACAACCTGCACAGTCAGATTTGTGGGAAACAACTACAGGGCTGGGCCCCTCAGAGAATCGCAAGGAGATGATTTGCATGAATCTCTGCAACAACACTGCAGAAGATGCAAATTTAGGACAACAGAGAGCCTACATTCATTTTAGTGACTTTCAATGAGAAAGTAAGGAAGTAAGCATTTTTGTGGTGATGCAAACATTTCACACCAGAGGTGCATACCAGCTTCTCTTGTATGAAACAAAGTTAGTTCTGAGGATGACAATTGCCTGTTTTCTGTTATTCAGTAGGTAGGAACAGTTCTGCACACTTTAACACGGTCCTTGATAATCCCCTGACTTTTAAGGGCTAGGTGGCAGATGTTCTTCCAGACAAGCCTGGTTAAACCCCATCATTTCTAGGAGGGGAGTTCAGCCCATTCCATCCTCTGCCACTGAGGTCAGTGGGATTACTGAAGTGAAGCACAGCCACCCTAAATCTGGTGTGACGACAGTCACCTACGTGTATGTCATACACAGGCCCGCTACGAGGAACCGCTGAAGAGCATTGAGTACAAGGCTCAGGACCAGATCCAGACTTCAGCAAACTGGGAGATACTGGTTAGCCAAAACTTACCAACCCCATGTTTGAATCTGGAGCACAACTTGCCTGCTTTATGCCTTTTAACACAGAGTTTGGGTTCAGGCGCTGCTCTGAAGAACATGTTGGTTTTGACACCATCCTAGCCATGCACACCATCCTTCTGAAATTGCACCAGATTCTGCATCAAAGACATCCAAGTCTCATTTAAAACCCCCTTAGGGGAAAACTGTAACATAATGGTAAAGATCTCACTGCATATTAGAGAAAACTTATAAAACCCCCAGAAAGTAAAATGCTGGAACACCCAATGAATACCAAGGCTGTCTCTGAAATGTAAAACTTTCCAGTAGCTTGCAGCGGTAACTCCACCCTAACCGCCATTTTATTTTTATATAAGAAACAAACAGAATTCCAAAAACTCTACCTAGAATCACTTGTTTCTGCCAAGCGGTTGTTCATGATGGCCAGAGCCCCCACCCCCGCAGAGAAACCGTTCTGTCTCGTATTGATGCAGACGTTCCTCGGGTAGCCGTTGGCTGTCTCGGACAACTGCTTCTGCAGAATGGCCAGGGAGACTTTACTGGACGCCGTGAGCTCCCTCATGGAGATCATCTCTCCCGAGAGCCTCCTGCCCTCGGTGTCACTGTCGTACTGTCCATCAGCGTCCATGGCGACGTTGTGGCGGCGCAGGCGGGCTCCTGGGGTGATGGCGTTGCGACGGCTGAGGCGGGTACTGGATTTATGGCACTTTGGGCAACATCTGCATTCGAATTTTTTCAACACCCAGTTCAAAATTTGTTTGATTACGATTGAGATGACATTAAAAAGGGAGTATATGCAACATACTCCCATTAATATAAACATGAAGTTCCCGAATCTGTATAATCCCTGATGTTGGTACACAGCGTTTTGGTTGCTTACCAAATCTCCAAAGCCGATGGTGCTGAAGGTGACAAAGCAATAATACAAGGAATCAATGTAGTTCCATCCTTCCACTGCCGTGTACATGGCGGAGGCGCAGCAGGAAAGGGCGATAGCAAAAATTCCCAGGATCAGCATCACGTGGTAAACGGATGGCTTCCAGCCCACCAGGCTGCCCACCCCGGACACGGCTGGCCCCCTTCGGAAGTTGGGAGGTAGGAGACCACTCCTTCGCAGCTGCCTCTCGTAGCACGCCTTCATGATAAATGCCAGGAGGGAGATGATGCGCTCCAAGAAGAGGTTGAAGAAGAGGATAGTCCCAGCACACCCAAAAAGGCCATAAACGATGAGGAACACTTTTCCAGCCACGGTTGCTGGTGTGGTCATTCCAAAACCTATGGTGTGGAGATAAATGGGCAATGTTAATAACATGGGTTTTTGTGAGGAAGCCCACAATGCATGTACCTTAACGAGGCTCCCATCTCACTGGACAAAAGGAGTGCTATCTCTAAGTCAGCTTAGGCCAACACAAAACCGAGTTTGGTAAAGAAGGAAGAAGGCACCAAAAGTTCAATGAGAGGACTAAAACTCAAAAGTGAGCAAAAAAAATCCTTGCAAGATGAAAGGATTATTATCTGTATTAACAGAGCAACACCACTCGAAAGGCAGGTGGAAGACTCAGTGAGCCCAAACCTTTTCAGGGTGGGATGAGGTGAAGAGGCCATTTCCCTGCTCCCACATGTGTCAGCCATCACGACCTGATGGAAAATTTAAGTTCTCTGTTCACAAGCTGTAACACAGTGTAACATTTTTGTTATAGGGCTCTGATTGTACCATTCCCACTGAGAAGATGGAAGTTTTCAGGTTGTGTAACAGGAAAAAAAAAACCAAACCACCTCCCAAATACTGAATACTGTTTTAAAAATAACAGCACTTTAAAGCCTTTTCCAAATCCCAGCTGTGACTAGCCCACCTGGTGTCATCACAGAAGGAAGGAAAAGCCATCACGCCGCAGAGCTGCCTGGCAGACTGGGGGCACTGGGAACTTGCAGATGGATAATTACAGCAGGGAAAAACACTGCTGCATAGAGTTGAACAGAAAAATCAGAATATATAAACTCTGGGAAGATCCAGCAACAATATTAATTCAACTCTTCTTCATATGAATTACTTATTGTAATATTACTTATTATTATAACATTACTCATACACGAAGTTTTAAAAGTAAGCAGAAATGCCTTGTAGCTAACAGATGGTTAAATAACAGCAAAAGTGAACTTAAATTTCCATGCAAATAAATACAGTAGCTTTATTCCATGCCATTTGATGATACCAGTTATATTATGATAAAGATCACATGCATTTCACATCCTATCTCAAGAAGAGTCTTCTGAAACTCAGTTCTGCAGGTATTGGCTTTTTTCTGCTATTCTTCCCTGTAAAAACACTTGGTGGCTCAGGCAAAAAACATTTGACAGGATTGAGGTGACTGCTTATGTCCCATGAATAAATAACCACATCCAATCTAAATTAAAGTTTTGTGAAAAATCCACATTCCAAAATTTCATTGCTGTATTGTTCCACCAAAATACCCAGCAAGGAACATATTCAAGGAGGTAAATATCAACACCAGACTACACAAATAGAAGTTTGTGAAGGAAAAGCATAGAGCATAATGAAATCATTACAGAGCATAATGAAATAATTAAATCCAGTTTATTACCATTAATACCTTTATAAACAGCAACAGGATAATATTGCCTATATACAATGAGTTGAGATTGCTGCTTGAAATCTCTTGATCTATTTTTGCAATGGCTGAATTGTTCTGGCTAGTTTATCTGCGTTCCTTTCCTGCTTTGTTGATAGAGAATTTCCCATTGGTTGGCAGAAGAATGTAAATGCTCATGACAAGTACACTCAGACGTATCCTTTCAGTGACATGAAGATGAATGAGGGAAGAGGTGGTCCTACTTTGACAACAGATTTGGCAGGCTCAGAAACAGCTGTGTGCCAGCAAGTCAGCCCATACCTCATAATCTGAGTAACCTGATCTAGTGGAAGGTGTCCCTACCCATGTGAACAGATAATCTTTCAGGTCCCTTCCAACCCAAACCATTCTCTGATTTTATGATCACAAGCATCACTGTAAAAAGAGTATTTTGTGTAAAAGTCAGTGAAAAACTTGCTTAGTATTACCAGAAAATATTACCAAAGAGGTCATGACATTTTGCTTTCTGGACCCACAGTCTTCTCCCCATTTTGCAGTGTTAACAAGACCACCTTTGAGCAGACCCCACAAAGCCTGCCATGGGCTCTGGGAAGTTCTCAGTTCCTTCTTCTCTGTGGGAGGGACCTGTTCTCCGGATTGGGCTGGCTGGTAGCAGGAGTCCTCTCATTTAATGATGCATATCCAAAAGTGCCTGGTCCTCAGAAGGAGCTGGGGAGCCTGTTGTGGTTGCCAGCTAGGGATACACAGCCAACTTGTTATGGAGAAGGCATCTGTTTGCCTGTGCCTTGTCAGCAAAGCACTTAAACATGTGCTTCACAGCAAGCATGTGAACATCACCATCAAAATAAATGGGTTTATTGTCACACATACGGCTAGACACATTTATTAATTAGGAAAAAAAAAAGAGAGATAGCAACAGTTTGGATCAAGCTGTAAATGTGCTGAAGCCTTTTACTATTTTTTGGTGATCATTCAAGAGAGGTGATGAAGTTTTACATTTTTGATGCTGTTTGTTTCATCAAGATTTTTCTGAAGCAAAATGCTTCCAAAATTCAGTATGTAGCTAAGCAAGGTGAAAGAGCCCATCACAACAATGAGAATGTTAAGAAATACACAAAACAGGCAAAAAATGAGGCTAGGCAAACACTGAATCATTTAGGTTGGAAAAGACCTTTAAGACCACTGAGTCCAACTGCTAGCCCAGCACTGCCAAGCCACCACTAAAACACATCCCTTGGGTCACCAGCTGGCTGAGGGAAGCAGTCACGGGCTCTCTGTGCAGGATCTTCCCCTGCCAGCTGTGTTTGTCCCTCGGTGTCACCCCCAGCATGAGGAGCTGGTTCTGGGATGCTCTGTACCTCATCTCTGAGCTCGGCCCCCACCCAGGGCTCAGAACACTGTGATGCCTGGATGAAGCAAACTCATCCAGAACTGCCTATGCTTCCAACACAGTACAGGGGAAAAACACAGCAGGGCTTTGTGCTTTTCATGGCCCTGAGACATATTTCACAGGTGCCTTGGGTTGCCTTTGTGTGGCTCAGATGCAATATCTGAACCTCCCTCGTGCCAATTCTGCCCCATCACCTCAGATACAAGCTCTATGGCAGCATTAATTTCAGCTGGTTGATATTTCTCCTCCCCAAAGAGAATTAGCAGAGATGAGCTGATAAAAACTCTCTTCAGCAGCAGCCTCTCACGGTTAAGTGCTGGCATTTAATGAGACCCTCATCCAGACTTGCATAACAGGTTTGTGGTTACAATTCTGCTCATCTGGAGCTTTAAATTACTTAAGCTAGGGATGGATTCAAGAGGTAGAACAGATGGACAAACTTGTGACATATGCTTCCTGTTGCTCTTGCTTTCTTTTCTTTTACCCACTTTCTTATGAGTAAGAGGTGGTTGATGCCAGAAGACAGAAAGGAATAGCAGCTTTAGTACTTGTGAGCTCTCCTCTCAGTCAAATTATTTTGGCAATTACCTTGTCTTACTACATTTTGAGATTAAAGTGGGTAACAATTTTGCAGTAAAAAATGTATTTACTCAGAGATGCAATAAAGTTTTGGTCACTTCAAAAACTGAACACAAGGAAATCACAGAAAACAATACAAGGAAGGGCATAATGTGTCCCTGCCTCTTTCAGCCACCCTAGCTCTTCTTATAAGCCACAGGACTTCACTCACACAGCAGGTCAGCACACTGGAGCAGTCATTTTAAATCCCAGAGTGAAACAGCACTTAGATCATCGGAGCAGCATCACCTCTACACCACTATATAACCATCAAATAGTTATATTTAAGGAAATCAAAAGAAACTAAAATGGTTGAAAGTAACTTTTTAAACAAATGGTTCCAGAGACAAACAACAACAGAAACGGCTATAACCAGAATGTTGCATCCAGAGGGAAAGAAGTTCTTGTAACATAAAGACTAAGAGAACACAGAGAAAAAAAGAGCTACCAATTTTAATGTTTTCCTGCACAAATGTCTTTTCTGCACTTGCTTTACTTCATAGCTCTCCAGTTGTCCTGGCTGGTCTTGACTGACACATAAACCATACTAAACATGTATATAGGAACCAAACATCCTACTCTGAATCCCATGTTTGGGTTCTGGTGCTTCCTTCCACCCTTTCCCACCTGTTAGCATTTTATCATTATTTCCCCTGAGAATCATACCTGTATATTTTACAACTGCCTCTCATTTATTCTCTAGCTCCTTACCACCTAACATCCAGAAACAGTTGCCTTGGATACAGGGTCACAGCTCAGACTGACAGAACTGCTGTATCCAGAGCTTTTTCCCAAGGAGTGGGAATACAACGAGTCAGTTCTTCCAACTGGCTCTGCATTTCCAGACTACAAATGAAAGACTTACTTTCCCTTTAACATCTTTCTCAGCCTGCTTTACTAAAATACCCCACTCTGGGCTCAAACAATAAATTATTTTAGAGCTTTTCTATTGCAAAGCCTTTAATCTAGAAGTTGCTGCAAAATCCCATTTGATCTTATTTAGATTAGTATCTGCAAACACCTCCTGAACAGCAGCGCTCTGTCCAGCACTGTGTGAATTAAGATACTTTAAGTTGGACCTGTGCTATTTCTGAATAAATGAACTACAGCTGTAGTTTTTAGGGCTGGCTTGTATTATACACAAGCTTGCAGTCCTTGGTGACCCACGTAGTGGGGCAGATATTGCATGGAGAAAATACTGAGTGACTATGCAAATAAGGACTGACTTCCACAATCATTCTCTCTATCCATTCTCTAGCCAAGAAAGAGCACCATGATAAGCCTAATGAATGTAGTTAAAAACCACCCATGTCTCTGCTGGTGCTCCTTGTTTCATTTCCACCTGTGAAACATTAGTCAGGTGTTTGAGACAACTGCTACTCAAAAGGAGCCATGCTGGCAGAACAGAGCCAGGAGATGATTAATTGAACTTTGAGGAGTTTCAAAGAGCTGCAGGTGACTATTACAGGCTTTCTACAGTCCCAATTTTATTCTATTTACACACAGTGGCGATCAGGTTATTGGTTATCCAAAGTGCTGCGATGCCTTAGTGACCAGTGAACACCAGAATCAATCACCCTTGGCATTCCTCTGCTGGCCATGCCTTAAACCACAGGCTGAAAGGTCATGGCCACATATTCATTCCTCTTTGATAT